ACAGCCAAAATATTGCTGCAGAAGCTTCCAAGACAGCTGCATGAGTACATGGCAGAATTGCCTTTTCTGTGCACATTTCCATCGAGGTTCAGCATCACCTTATTCTGTAACACACAGAGTATTTGCTTTTTAAGTAATGCACAGAATGTTTTTTAAGTAATGGGCTCTTACCAACTGGCAATGACCAAACCCGGTGCCACCCGGCCCCAGCACCACTGGCAAAGGCCGAGCTGCTACCAGCAAGGACTGCGTACACCTGCCAGAGTAGGCAACAGGGAGCAGGAGGGCAAGCAAGTGCCAACCCAAGCGGAGTTTTGACTTCAGGCCTGTTGCCTGGGCTGTAAGCAGTGGGGCAGTGGGTGCAAAAAAGACAAGGGCAGGATTGAAACAGAAAAGAAAAAAAATCTAAGCAGTGTTAAAATACTAACAGAAATGGGTAGGCAAGTGTGAGTGTTCAAACTAATTCTGCTCAGAGACGTTGGTAAATATGTAAGCTGTGCAACACCAGTACAGATTTCATATTTTTAGATCTAAAAACTTATGGTTGCCTTCTGGTTCCTACACAAAATACTTGGCCAACAAACTGGCAATGAATACTGTGCTCCTCTTGCACAGCCAGAAAAGCCAACAGTTTTTATGTTGGCTACACAAAGTGGTTTTGAGAATAAATAAGGTGATTATTAACTTGGCACTTGGTAGTGAAAGCAAATGGCTATTTTATATGCAGAGGCAGTAAAAGCCAATGGGTTCCAGGCCCCGTTGCCTCTGAGGTGAGGGTGACTTGCATCACTACTCTTGGTGTGATGCGGTATTAGCACTTGCTGCTCATCTAAAAGCAATACATAAACGCTCACTGGAAATTCACCATATGGTGTAGGATAAACCAGCTCAAACAAATTACTAGCTCGCACCTAATATTTATTCCCAACTTAAGTTTGAAAGAAGCATTCAGCACACTTTCATCTCACTCACTGGCAGAAGAATTCACCAGTGTCACTGATACTGCCATACCCAAGTGAACAGCAACATGGAACAGCCCAAAAGAGAGGTCCTGCCGGAACTCACAGAGGTCACAGCACTGGAAACTCCAAGAGGTGGGGAGGAGGCGGCAGAGACTTCCTGCCGAGTGTCAAAGATGTCTACTAATCAAAGCAGGGGACTCTGTTCCAAAACTGAGCAGATGGCATCCCTAGGATTAGCACTAGCAGCTGTCAATGCAGTGATTATACATTGAAATTGCACAGCTAATGTACTGTATAATTTAACTAGGCTGAAGAAGATGATTAGGGAGAGGGAACATTATGAAAAGATTTGGAGCTTATATTTTCCTAATAATTATGGAGGCACCCCACAATCCTCAGTGCAAAAGATACATTTAGATGTCTTCAAGGCATTTTAGACATTTAGATGTCTGAAACCTGCATTATACACACCAACATCTTCCAATTCAAACACACTCAGAGACTTCCTGGGACAGAGGAAATAATTAACTCTTTCAACATGCCTCATAATATACACTGACAGAGCTAGGGGACAGACAAAAAGAATTTTTAATCTGAATAAAAGATAGCCTTATAAACAATAGGAAAATTCCAAATAAATATGTTTCTCTATATGCATATAGCATTCCTTTCCAACAGTCTTGAGAGCCAGAAAATGCAGGATCTTCAGCACAAGAAGATAAGAATATTAATATATGAAAGGAAAAAACCACACATGGGGTTTCCTTCACTGACTTGGGTTTCATCTTAAGTTATTCTGCACATACATGACAGTGTTAAAGATTTTTCTGGTCCTCTAAATTTTAAAACATTAAAAAAACGCAGCAGGAAGTATGCATTTCAGTTTTGGGGACCACTTTTACAGCTAATCTGGTGCAGCAACACAACAGTGACATGAGAACCTCTGATTTATACTACCTAACGACCTAGCCGGATGGCGTTTATGTTTATAGAAGCACTCGGTGAGATATTTTTAGATCAATCTTTCTTGTTAACATTCTCTGCATAATTTATATGTCTTTATTCTCTTTGGGGCAGAGCAGACATCTGAACTGAGGGAGCAGAGGCAAACAGGATCACCTAGCAGCCCACAGAGAACCCGGGGGTCAGGCGGCCGAGTTGGTGTCAGGATGGGGAACAACACTGCATGTAATGCTAAGTAATCCTCTTGGCCATTTGTGAAAAGTCCCAATTTACATATACAAATTCCTTACATGTCTCAAAGAAGTCGTCTGGCAATTTAAAGATGATTAGGAAGGATGAGCTTACTGGCACTTCCAATGCGTATGTGGCTGACACTCAAGTAGACTGATGGAGCAACTACATTTCTTAATTAATTCTTTAGTTAATGGTACCACAGTTCTTGTTTTCCATGTAACAAGGAGTTTGATTATCCCACTATTTCTCAACATAACTGGGACACCTATGTAAACATCATGGTTCATCTAAAACTGAAGACATTAACAGCACTAGGTCCCTAGAAGTCTTCCACAAGTCATGGTGGCAGTACCAATCTTCCACTTTAATTCTGTTGGAAAATGAAAAAGATTAATCACGTAACTGTGAGAATTTCTTGCTAACAACACAGGTTTTCACTTGTCTATCATTAGCTTACCACTATGTTATAAGGAACTGCTGCTTAGGTAGCACATGGTCTGTGCTCCAAGAGACATGGATGGTCCTTCATTCCATTTTCCCTCTGATCAAGCTGCATAAAAGGTGGAGAACCAGTGTAATATCAATTAGTCTTCATAGAATGGTTTGGGTTGGAAGGGACCTTAAAGATCATCTAGTTCCAACCCCCCTGCCATGGGCAGGGACACCTGGTCTTAAGGTGCTGTGTAGCAGTGTTCCAATATTTTAAATATTTTTTAATTCTTTGAGGTTTGAAAATGCTATTTCCAATTTTCCCTCACAGACTAAAAGAAATGACACGTTTCCAAGGAACAGTCACTACTGACACGCATCCAAGTTACCTTACAGGGTGCACAGGCCTCTGCGTGACTGTACACAAGTACGCGGGCAGAGTGTCAGCACACTGACAGTGCTTGATGCCACATCTTCTATTTATGGCCCCTTAGACCAAAAAAACCCACAATACAGCGTTATTTAAGGGTGCTAGCTCACATTCATACTAAATTCAAATGCCAGTAAGCAGGTAAGTTTCATCTTATGGCAATTTTCAACTTAAGATGCTTCTTACAATGCCAACGAATTATACGTGATCATCAGAAAAACAACTCCCCTCAAAATGCTATACGCAGAATTCACAGTAGATGTTGTTGGAATACTAAATTTTGTTCAGCTCCATATTTAATTCCACTTCAAATAAAACATCAATAACTCCTTTATCTTCCTAGGGACACCTCAGAACAGCCTTCCATTTTGATATCATGTACTAGCAACCTCAAAATACATACTTAAAATTCTGTAAATAGCCCCAAGGTATGCTAAGCAACCATAGCCGTGTTATTGTCCATAGACTTCAATGTTTTTGTTCTTAATAACACTAACTTTCAGCTGTTTTATTAGTCTAAACCCAGCAGCATTTCCTGTTCAAATACTTTTTTTTTCTTTGATCATTAAACAGTCAAAGTAAGGCACTTTTACCAGTGAAAAGCAGAACCCATAGGAAACAAAGTATTCACATTTTTTTGTTCAAAAGCTGATGGTGTCTGTATCTCGTCTTTCACCAACTCCGTTGTCCCCTGCCCCAAGTAACACCCCAGCTCTGGCAGGCTGGGGCGCGTGGAGACCATCTACGCATGCTTAACCTATTTGCTAACTTTGGTTTGTGCTTGGCTTACACCGTGTCTAAACTCACGTCTTGGTGCTTGCTCCATTGCTTATCTGAACTCAGGTGGCTTTAGACAAGGACCACACTGCCCTGAAGGCCATCCCATAAGGATAAACACTCAATAGCTGCAAACGCCCGAATCCAAAATCCTGAAAATGCACTGGCCATTGCATGAAGCTGTGCACCATAGTCTTGCACGTAGTGCAGGACTGAAACATGTTTCAGCGTGTACATGATGTATTTTCTCTTTCTCCTCCTGCTCTGCTTTCCTCTCTTCTCCCAAAAAAATCCCCGCACAAATCTTCCCAGTCTTGTCTTTTTTTATAACTATGGCTTGCACCATGTTTTCATGAAACCCCAAAACCCTACAAACCTTCAGTTACAGCTGTGAGGGCAACAGACACTGGTGATGCACTGAACTCTCAGTGACTGTTATGGCTCATTTATGTATTAATCCCCTACATCAATCATAATAATTTAATGGTATACGGATTCACAGCAACTGTTTTCAGATTCTCTTTATCAAAGCATTAGCAAGATAATTTAAAATGTTATTTGGCAAGGGAGTGGGGGGAGAAAACGCAAGTCACTCCTGAGCTCAGGCTCTGACAGCTCTGCCTGAGCTCCCTCAGTGCTCCCCAGGACTTCAGGACTCTCCCACCAGTCCAGCAGCAGTCCTGACCCCGTCCTTGCAGTGAACCGCCAGCACTTCTCACTGCTCTATTTTCTAATCCTGTTCCGTTGTGTTTGGTGGCATCATGTTACTTCCATCTAGAACATGTAGGTTTTTGCCGCTATGTGACTGGACATGAAGTTTTTAGCATCCCTGAAAGGGAAAGGCCAAACAACAAACTTGTACAAGTCAGAACCTGGCATCCCAAATGCTAAATTTTAGATTATTTCAGCTCTTTTGAAATGAGAAAACCACATTTCAGACTCATATAGAATAAAAAAGCAGCCTTCACTAATACACAACACAATATCCCTTACTTCAGAGATGCAGCAACATGACGTAGACTGAATTAAGGCCGAGGACCATCAGGCTGCTCACAAAACTTTCCCACCCCTTCTCCTAGCCTCTCCACACACACTCTTGAAAGTGCTAAACGGTAAATATGAGAAAGTAAAAAAGGAGTCTACTGTGGGGGTTTTTATCACCAGTAACTCTTCTTCCTGTATTTTATTTTACCAGAAAGAGACTGTTCAGATTTCACAACTCTAAATCATGCTGGGAAAAAAGCTGGTGACTGCACAGAAGCGAGGGGAGACAAGAGCCCTGTGCCTGGGACTGGGAATGGTCACATGCTCCATGATGATGTACTTTTTTATTGGGATCACCATTGTGCCATTCTACACCAAAAGGTAATACCAGCCATTTATTTATGAGTAGTACAAAGCTGTTTCTTTTTCCTGTCAGCATCAAATACAGTTTTTAAGAATGTTAAAATATATGTCAGTACGTTGTACAATAAATAAACAATATGTTCTTGAAGAGCTCATATCAACTGAGGACAGAAGAGAAATAAAAAGTGTGCCAAGAGTTCACCAGGCATTTCCAGGTAAGCACAAGAAAGAGGGAACAATCATCTTCATGACCAGAATGAGAGCAGACTAAACCAAAACATTTAAAATAAAAAACCAACCACACCTTTTAATTATCAAGCTTTGGTAAGTAAGTCTGGCATAGTTTTGTTTTGGGTTTTTTTTTTTTCCTTAAAAAGCAAGCTTTTCCATGTGCAAGAGGGTGTGTTGTTTTTAATAAAACCATAAAAACTTGAGCAACAGAAGTCATGGTAAAATTGTTCAGACAAGAATCTCTATCCTTCTTCCAAATAAGCCATCATGAGAAACTAGCACCTTCAACAGCCCAGTCTACCACAGCAAATGTTGCAGAACAAACGCTGAATTTATGATTACCCACATTTTAATTTCATTTTTTGCAAGTTCTGCCCCCCCACACAAAATCAATTTGCAAAAAAAAAAAAAGCCAAAAAGTATGGTTGTTTTTCACACCTGAAGTTTTTGATAAAGCAAGTATATCCACCTCATTCTTCTTGCTAAGAGCACCTTTAAGCTCAAAAAGGTTTGAAAAACATGTTTAAAACAGAGTAATTCACATTTAGTTATTTTCCAGCCTTCTGATTATGTAACAACAGCCATCTGCATGTAAAAACATTCGTTTAAGAACTAGAGTGAGACTATTTGTTCACTTTTTGTCAGTGCACTGCTGTAAGCAAAGGCTTACAGTAATAAATCAGTATCTCTTGAGAAAAAGGGACAAGTAACAGCAAAAAATGAACTTTGGCCAAGCAAAATGCTGCTACTTATTTATGCAAATGTCCACATACACAAAAAAAAAAAAAAAGGGGAAACATGGGAACTCATCTGAATTTAGAGAATTATTGAATGAAATCAGTCAAAATATTCCTGAGACAGAAATGTACTGCCCTTACAAATATTTACTGCCAAACACCAAAATCTGTAGCTGGATTGAAGCTGATGACAGAAGGGATTACAGTCCAACTTCAAACCACAGACTGCATGACAAACAGCAACAACACAACGAACCCTTTCCGGCACAGCTTTCCTATGGCAGCCCCTCTCCGCATGCAGCCATCATTGCGGGGTGGGCACACCCTGAAAAGCAATACCTTTTGTTTTGGTTTTGCAGTGTTTGGACAACAGAAACCATGTGCAAGTTACTCAAAGCCAACATCCAGGACAGTGCTCTCTGCCCAAACAGTGACGGCTTGGAGGATGAGGATGCCTTTCCTTACCCCTGCCTAGAGGTGTGGGTTAATCTGACAGCCTCGGGACAAGAGGTTATGCTGTATCAGACTGAAGATACGCTGCGAAGAAATCCTAAGGTACTTGCAACATGGGTTAAATGATCACTCTCTGCTGCTGTGTAACACCTTTGAGGAGAAGGGCTGTTTCATTTCAAACCAGGCAACACAGCAAGAGTAGTTGTTGTTCATCTTTTACATGTTAACGCCTGTGCTTAGGTCAAGGCATTTCTTAACTATTCCAAAAATTACACATTTTGGATTTTGCTTTAGACGCTACATCAAATATTAAGTTAGTAATTGATAAGGATTACACCAATAATGAATATTTATGAACATTTAAAAATGTTTAAGTCTCCAAGCTGAAGACCAATGGTAAGAAATAGTTGATAAGCTGTGGTTTGTTCAGTTGCTTGTTAAATTATCACAGGAGAGATGTGAAGGTAAAAAAGTGTCCAAACTAAGAGCAGAAATCCCAATTTTACTTCCATTTTAGGTGTGTGATAGGAAGCAGGGAATAAAGAAAGCAGAGAAAGGGGAAACAAGGGACAGTGCTGTTAGGAAGATGACACACATTGCAGATACAAAGGAGACACAAACCATTAATTTTAGAAAGTGATCACCCAGAAAACATACTTGTTTTTGGTTTGGTCTGCAACAGTTTCTGGCCAGCATGGCAGTAGAAACCTGGACTCGAAGAGAAGGCAGGGGCACTGCAGGAAGCATCTGTGCAACACAGACACTGGGTATGGTGGTAGAGGTCCCCTGGTCGTCTTTTAGGGATCTCTTCACAGAGGATGAGTGCAGAACATAAGCGGGAGAGAAACGTGGGTGCAGAGTGTATATAAGGTGAGGGAAGGGGAAGGAGCAGGGTGTACATGTCACAAGGAAGGTCAGGTTTAGTTCAGTTCCAACCACAAATATTACAGAGGACTTATTCCAGCTCACCACTCTAAGGGGACTTGAAGTAAAATTCAGACTTTGGATGCCCAAGACTGAAGCACTTTCAGAATCCAACACAGACATGCTCATCATCTTAAAAACATCATGCAGGTTAGAGTTTCACACAGCTTAAAGTGTTGTATCCAGGGGAAAGCTACATACAGTGAAGTGGCAAAGCAGACATTATCCACTGTAGATTAAAACAAGCGTCTTGTTCACTGCAAGAGGAGGCAATTTGCTGATTTCCTACCTACTGCTTGCATTACTGCAAATAGAAGCCTTAAAGTCAGGAACCATCCCATTTCTGCCTAAACCAGTTTCCAGCTTAAGATGCTGAAGCATTATTATGTATGCAAAACAATACTGCAGAAAATAAACTGTTATAAAACCAACAAAGAGGGCCTCAAAGTCTTTCCAGCAAAAACTAAATAACTTTGCATTATTACTACAGGTCAAAATAGCTCTCTGTTACAAGGACAAGTAGGAAGCCTCCAACAGCCACGCTTTCCTCTTTTCTACTAGTTACGGCAGAGGCGCATAGCAAAGCAGCTTCTTTCTCCTGCACACTGATAAGCCAGGATTTCTGCATAACTAACTCCTTTCTGCTGTGGTGGTGCTTGGAAGCTGTTAGGAACCTTGGCACTGTAATAATAAAGTGACAGACTCAAAGACTGCAGTTTTGTTTTGAGCACATGTGTATTATTGGTTTCACACATTACTCCAATCTCTAAGTCTGCAGACTGGGTGCACACACACACTGACAGAAAACACAAAGCTTGGCAAATGGGTTATGGACATAAGGAAACCAAGACAATCTCCAGGGATGCTGGCCAATCCACAGCAGTTTTTGTCAGTACTAGTATGTTTGTTTTACTCAATCTGACTCAACAACAAGAGTATCCATTAATCACCTTGATTTCTTATTCCAGTGCTCCTATGTCCCAAGCAAGTCGAAGAACTCTGAAGAAGTTAAAGCACTAATAGAAACAATTGCAAGCAATTTCAAAAAATACCAGACTTTCCCATGCTACTATGACCCAGGAGGAACCCAGACCAATGCCATTTTAAGCAGACTTTATCCCCCAAGAAACCTCCTCTTTGCTTTCCTTTGGCCTACACTCCTGTTTACTGGTGGATGTCTAATTATTGTTCTGGTAAAAATTAGTCAGTATGTTTCTGTTCTTTCTGCATGGCAGTAGAAAATAGGTATCTAGTATAGATTGTTGCAAGATATTAAAGTGACTTTGTTCTGCCTGTCTTTACCTGCATTTTGTGACTTTTACTATACCAGATGTCAATCCAAGGGCAAGCGTTCCAGAAAACTGAATGGCACCCACTACGGATGGCAATCCATTACATGAGAAAAAAATAAAATTGATTCCTGAAAATACCTCCTAAGACACAGACTAAGTTACTATTGTTTCCTTGGGCTGAAGTTCAGTTGCTTTACAAAGCTACAATTCAAGTTTAGTCGTGAACTCCTGTTCCACATTTTAGGCAGGGTCCCTTTCTGTCTGGCTGAGACCAGGTGGTGTCAGATCCATGTAAATCGTTACTGGCTGACTCCCTTTATATACTTCATTACCGATACAGTATATGGCACACTCGTCTGTTGAGAACAGAAGTTCTGTTATGGTCCAAGGAGGTATCTGTTATCATGGATCTCTCTGCTTTTGAGAAAGCAGAGGGGGAAAACCACCCACAAACAAGAAGTACACAGATATTAAAATCTGCACTTTAAACATGTAACACGAATTGTATATAATGAATTATATGCATGAAGTATAGGGTACAGTAAAGATGCTTATATTCAAACTCAGGTTTTGTATTTAACTCAAAGGTTAGCCTTGCTTTACTTTGAAATAAGCGTACCACTCAAGGAGGGCTACCTGCCTGCCGCTTGCATATATGACAAAATTGTTAAGGAAAGGAAGTCATGATATAAAGAACATAATTATGATGTCCTAATAAATACAGTAATCTAACGTAACCACAGAAGTTTGCATGCCTAGCACAAAGGTATTTCACAACAGACACATTTGTGAATTTGTGAGAGCGCCAGGACTCTCAGGAATGCTCTGATGCATGTATAGACACATCTCCTGGTCTCCAAAAATAAATCTGTTCCTCTCAGCCAATTTTCAAATTGCTGCTGGCCACAGGAACACAAAGATACTTCCCACATGCTGTATTTGACTGGCACTGGGGACACAACTTGTACAAGCCTTTTCATCACACAGCTGACGAACCACTTCAACTATCATTCACAGGAAAATTTCAGGGCTTAGAAACAAATCTAAATTGTAAATAAAATTAAATTGGAGTGGAAAAAGGTTATCATCATTAATGTGGTACAATTCTCTATTGTTTATTGTAAGAGAGAGGAAGGCTGAAATATTAACCTATTATGTGCATTTTCTAACATTACAATGGAACAGCATCAGTTTGCTTTTCATCATGGTCAGCAAATCAAAATTAGACCAGGATAGTACAAAACAGCAGTTAACATCAGCAACACCCATTCACCATGCAAAATCCAAATGGTTATCTATTAGAAATCTACAAGAGAAAAAATGACCTGCTCTAGTGCTTAAGATTTCAGTCAGTGTAAAGGGGGCTGTTAAAGAAAAAAGGCTAAAACCCCAATATAGGAGGGGAATCATTTTCACAAGGAGGAGGAAGGTATTTACATCTTCACACAACACTTCCATGAAATGCAACTAAAGCTGCGTGTACATCCCATGCTGATCTTTCTCATTCAGGAAAGCGCGCATGCAGCTGGCACAAGTACAGCTGTTTTGGGTCACCAAAATATTTGCCAATGGGATGAAGAGGGGAAGAGATTCTGTTTTTTCAGTTCACCAAAAGCTGAGACAGGAGTATGGGAAGCGCTTCAGAACATTGTAATCAGACAGGGAAATATGTGTTGAAGCTACCGCACTGTACTGGTACCAAAGGAGCTGAACAAGCTAGCTGTACATGGATAGGTTTACTTAACAGGCACTTTCAAATCTTTACATCAAATTTCAGTTTTCAGCAGCTTAGAGTATCCAGTTTGCAAACTAGGACTTGTGCGTGACTACTTTACACTCAGCCCAGGAAACCAGTAGCCCCGCCACCTTGCTCCCCTCCCAGCTCAGCAGAGATGAATGAAGGCTGGATGTTGCAGTTGCAGCGGTAATCCCACTGCCCCACTCACAAGTCACTAACTTGCTTCGGAGGAGCTGATGCCATTGATCTTGCTGAGCTCAGAACTCAGCACAAAGTGTGAGGACCTGGAGCTGCTGCTGCCAACTCTCACACTGGCTTCCCGAGACCACCCCCTAAAGACACATCCCCTTCACCTCTCCTCAGAGCAGTAGAGTGCAAGCTGTGTCTCCAGATTTACCTCTACCAAAAATAAAGCGAGTCGATTATTACATGAAAACAGTTATTTCCCTCCAACATGTACGTATTGCAAGTACATGAAGAAAAACCTTACACAAATTTTATTCTTCGATAAAGTAACATCTCGTATTTGGGCAGGAGATATTCCAAGTGAAAACAGCTAGTGCAGGGGTAAAACTACACACAAATTAGGAAACTCCATTATTTTGGGCTCTCAAACTCAGCTTCGTTTTTTGCCTAAATGAAGCAGGGGATTCAAATGCAAAAAGCCAAATATTCTAATGTAGAAAACAAACACAAAATATACAGGTACCACAGAACTCTGTTCTTGTTTGTAAATAAGATGTTCCCCATGTATACAGCACTTGCCATTTTCTACATCTGACAGTTTGATGTTAAAGTCATAGATATTCTCTTTCCTTCACACTTGCCCTTTCTCTTCAAGTCAAAGCCAAGTGCTTTAACAGTTTGCCAGGTTACAGAATTATTCTTGAGCTTTTGTAAACATTTTTCTGTTCTTTTTCCATCTGCAAAAGTTGTAATTCACCAGAGAGTAAAGTTTTAATAACACACTCTATGCTTCTACAGCAGCACAATGTAGCCTTTAGGGGCTTTTGTTTGGTTGGTTTTTTTAACTAGTATTGGATTATACCATCAAATCTACAATAAATCTCTTAAATAAAATGCTATTTCTCAGAGATCCAGCAAAACGCTTTCTGTGACAAGTGTTTCAATTCAAGCAGTGACCATTGCAGTAGCAGATGTACACAGCTACTCACTTTCTCAAGGCAGAGTAGATGATCCAGGTGTGTATCACAGCAATAAACCCCCTACCAGGGAAGGGAAATGGAAGTACAAGCAGGTGGAGATGAAGTTCATACTTGAAACCTCTTTGATTACACCTACCTGTCACCAGCACTGATGCTTAGACACAGTAGCATTGCTTGAGTTGACTGTAGCATGCAAGGAACACAGGAAGAAGCGGAATAGATTTTAGAACCTAATACTTCAGTTGTGCAGGCCCTTTATATGTGTATATACATAATATTGTTTTGCTGAAACTATTGAAAGTCCTATTTTTCAGGTGCTGGGCACAAGCTCTCAGGAGTAGTTTCTCTTATCAGTACTAAATAAGGCTTAGACATGGCGATTCTACTGTTAGAAGATGGAAAAGAACAACTCCAGCACTATTCCTGAGGGAACTAGCATTTCTCCCAGACAAAAAACCAAAAACAGAAAAAAAACCCACACAACAATTTCAAGAGGCTGTAAAGCGAAGCTTATCCCATAAACAAGAAGCTATTTTTCTGGATGAGGTAGATTCAGCTGTCATAAGCTTTTAGCAAGATTACCTCCCTGCAGCTTGGACAAGGTAGGAACAAAGGCCACTGAAGAGGAAGCTATGGGACACCAATTTGCTAAGAAGTCACCTGTGAGTCCCCAGCATGCTCTTAGTGCACATAAACAACAGCAGCTACCTTCCGGCTACCTCTCATAATTTTGATTTAATTTTCCTCCTAACTGGGGCCATTTTTATTACCTGATCCTCAGAGCAGCAACAGGGCAGTTAGCACAAAGACAACTCTGGTCCCCAAGGATTCTTCACTCATCGCATAAACCCGCTGCACTCGACAACAAAAGTCTTCCCACTGAGTACCTGGTACTTTGACTTGTGGTCGGGGGGGTTAGGGGGGTGTTTTTTGGTTTGGGTTTCTGGGGTATTTTTTTGTTTGTTTGCTTGTTTGGGGTGTTGTTTGTTTTTAAATAAGGAGATGAGGAAAAGCTTCATAAAGCCAATTTGGGGTCCAGACTATTCACTATTCAGACACCATACCACATGACTAAGATTATTTTACTTTTGGCAATTTTCATAACGGAAGAACCAGCACTTGGGCTTAACTGGGCAACTCCAAATCTACAAGCTGTCTTGAAGTTAGAAAATATTTTAATACAGGAGAAATAATTAAAAGTGGTTGTCTTTTGTTCACATTAAAGGGGGTTGGTGGCTGGCACAAAGGTGTAGGCCAGCCATACAAACCCCGTGCAAGAAACAAGATTGGTGTATAAGCACATAGCTGTTGTCAGTCAGTACCAAGACTGGGAATCATCTCAGAAGCTTGAGGGCACAAGGGGAACATTAGAGGGTTTGCAGAGGAAACAGCACCTTTCCTTCCCACCCATAAAGTATTTGTAAACAGTAAAAATGCATGTAGTGGTTTTGTTGTTGTTTAGTTCTCCTGGAGGAAGGTTTCTTTTACTGTGCTGCTATAAGGCTTAAGCGTCAGCTTTGATAAATCTCAGTTATATTGGGGAGTTGCAGTATTAGATGTTTTTCTCCTTGTTGACCCCAATTTGCCACTCTTTCAAGAGCATTAACAGAAAGGAAAAAGCTAGCAGAGAGTAGACAGAGGTGGCTCTACTCAACTTCCACGTAAAATAGTCAGTGAAATACAGATGAAAAAGTATTTTTTATTATTATGCTCCACTAGAAAAAATTTCCATGAAGAAAAAAATTCTTGCCAAAATTGAAGGACTGGCAAGCTGTTCTTTCAAAGCTTCCTAAAAATACCTGTTCAACTCTGAAACAGATAGAGGTAGTGTCATTACACCCTGCACTCCTTTCCCTAGAAGGGTTGTATGACATGTACGCAGAAATTAAGCTGTCATATGGGTAAACACACACTGCCATACCTAAACCAGCGCAGGTATGTTCCCTTTTCTCTTTGATCACATACCTCTATCGGTAATAAATCCAAAAATCTGATGTCATCTTTGCTAGATATGTGTTACTGTAATTGCTTTATCTAGGAAAACCAGCTTTAAGATGTACATTCTACTTCTTCCCTCTTATAATTCCAGGCAGATTTT